TGCTTAGGGATGTGGTTTAGTGGTGGGCTTGACAGTGTTAGATTTATGGCTGGACTCAAAGATCTTAAAGGTCCTTTCCAACCTAAACGATTCTATGATTCTATGAAAGGACTGCAGATTTACAAACCATTCTCGGTACTATATATATTGCTCATCACCACTGCGTGAGTGCATAGGCTATACCAGATGTGTTCACATTGCAAACCTCTTCAAGATATAATCATGTTGAAGCTTATGTCTGTTTGTCTCTCCCTCCTCATCCCCCCCAGGAACATGTTGCCAAGAAAGAGTCTATGAATTCCAGTGAAGTGTGGTACTCTACTGTCAGCCACAACGTAAAACATGAAGTCTCTGTGATTAAAAGCAATAATCAGACAGAATATGCGCTTGTCAACATGCCCAAGAAGGAGGAAAATGTCAGCAGCACTGAAGAGCACAGTGAATATGATTATGTCCTGATAACTTAGAAAGGGACACTTTCTGCTTCCGAGGCACTCTCTTACTTCAATGCGTGCAACATTCAAACAAACATCTCTCTCTGGTTACCAAGTTTACTCGTTAGGACACATCTGCCAGTCCTTTCCAATGAGACAAATCTGTCCATGAAAAGGTGGTCACAGAAAGAGACATGGACAGGGTACAGGGCTTGACAATTAAACAAGGAGGAATCCATAGCAACCGCCACTGTAAGACAATGTTTCTCTGTAGAAAATTAGGTGATTCCTTACTAGAAGCAATCGAGGCTGCACATTTTTCTGGACTTTCACAGTATATATATTTTTTTTAAAAAAAAAAGAGGTCTTACAGACCTACTCATAGAAATCTCAAAAATGCAATAACACCTCCCCCCCCTTTGTTGTTGGGTTTTTTGTTTGTTCGGGCGGGTGTTTTGTTTTTTAAATGAAAGCATAGACCCTGTGTTAGGTGCACTTACTCTTTTCCAAAGTTTCTGTGGCCTGCTTGATATACACCATTATACAATGCACGATTTCTATAACTAACTCATTTCTCAAATTGCGCCCCCCCCCTTTAAATGTAGTATTACTTAGAGGGAAGCCTTAACGAAGTTGGAACTAAATAAAAAAAGCAACAAACTGCATGCAAAACAAAAATCCCAGCCACTTAGAAGACTAGCACCGATGCTGCACACCTCTCAGTAGAAGATTCCCAGGCACTGCCTCCGTGACACAACACTTCCAGCTCACTGCTGCTGGAGCCTCACGTTTGGCTCTCCGCAAGGCCAGAACATAACCTCCTCATAGCCCATCACCCCTCTGCCACGACCGTTTCTGGACACGCACATGGGACCTCAGTTACTCAACCGTTCACCAGAGCTCATAAAGTGATTATGTGCCTGTGTTCTTCCTTAAAGCGTGTTTTGTTGCTCCCTCCATTTTTGTAATAAAACAATTTGGAGGAAAATGTTGAACAGTTTTCTCGATTTTAAATCTTCCTTTGTGTGCGATTGCTGGCTGCAGCCCCGGCTTTACGGTGTAGTGTCTCTGCAATTCCCACCTGTGGTTTCGGTGCTGTGGGCAGTCCCACGGGTGAACGGTTGTGCGTGGCGGCGGACAGACACAGGCAGCACTCTGCAGGTACCGCCGCAGTGATGGCCAGCTGAATCTGCCCCAAATTTGTACCGGCCGCTGTGGCTACAGAGAGAACTGTCTGCCGTGGGATGTTCAAGGGCTGGTTGTACTCTCCACAAGCTGAATTACCAGAACTCTCTCTTCTCTTCCTTTGTAACAGCATCTCAGTTGCCTTGGTCATTAAGGTATTAACCCACATTACTTCTATTAAAACTAACATTAAGCGTTTACACAAAATATCTAACTTGGTGAAATAATGTGTTTTCACACTGCTCTGTCCCTAATGGATGAAGTCATAATTAACCAAGTGAATTATTTTCTTTTACATGGTCAATTTACCTCGAAGACATAAAACCAGAAACCATTTTTTATCTTTTTTTTGACATTTCCTTCAGTGAGAGTTCAAAGCTTGACTAGAGGAAGACTGTGAGGTCGGACATTTTCTGTTGAATGTCACACCACCTTGCTACAATTCCACCTCCTCCTTTCGTGTGAATTGCTGGGGTAAAGGTACTGAGGCAGAGAAGGATGGCTGGAAAAAAAAAAAAAAAAAAAAAAAAAAGAAAGTGCTTGACTCCTCCTTTTTTCTGTTGACTCTTAATGCACTCAGGGGTATCACCATAAAAAAGCATAAACATTATATAATTTTTCAGTTCTTAGAATCAAGATAAAGAAATGTCCAAGGGCAGGTTCAGTCATCTTAGAGCAATAAGATCAAGCAGCATCTCAAAGGCAAGTTATTTCTTTGCTGATGGTATTTTCGTAGCCTGCTGCTTTTGAGACAAACCATAGAAACCATGAATTTTATCCTTCCTCAAAGTAAGAATCAGAAGGAATATCTCTGCTGTCAGGTCTTCAAACAAACATCTCGCTCTTGTCACCAAGTTTACTTGCTAGGACACATCTGCCAGTCCTTTCCAATGAGACAAATCTGTCCATGAAATGTTGCATCAAAAGAAATTATGGTTCTTACAGCCAACACTACATCTTACAAATCAAGATAGGGTCAGAATTAGCCACAAATATGAGAGCCATGTGAACTACTAATTTGGTCCAGGCTGTTTCCCAAGCTCAGTTAAAACTCAAGCAACAGCAAATACGGGTTTGAGTGTACGGCTTTGTCAGACAGATGCTTCATACACCTCTCAGCATTTAGAATTCCGATGGTTATTTTCCAACTCAAACAGCTGAAAGACTGGTGCTGCTGAAGAATGAAAACAATCACTTTAAGAGTAAAAATAAATAATTTAATGCATGGTAAACTTGTCAGATTGCTCTTTAAATAAACTAGTAATAGAAAAAGAGAAACATGATTTCCTATAAGATATTTCTCACAATACAAAAGGTTTCTTAAAACAAATTTGTCTATCCAACAGTACTAACTTTTATACTGGCTATAAACAAATGACAAGAAGCTATACTTCACTAACATGGTAGCGAATCCAGTCCATTCTATGTAAAGTTAATGTTATAGTCAGTTACTAGCTATAACTCCCATGCCGCGCTGGCCTACGTGGTCTGCTTCAGCGCCTTCCTCTTGACATTGGTCCATCTCATCTGATCTCTTGTCAACAAGAACAACTATTTGCTGCCTTATTAAGGCAAATATTCTGGATCTGTTGATTTTTATCCCCACTGCTGCGACAGGGACTATAATTAAGGGTATAGACTAGTTTCTCTTTGAATTTACAAATAAAGGTCAAATAGCTATCTGTTCACTAGTGCCAGTAGCTAATTATTAAGGCACACCGCTAATTTGACCCTTGAAAGATTCCTGTGGCATTCAGATGCGTTAGTGAACAAGACATGTTTCTTCCCGATATTTCATCCTTCATTCCTATTTCACATTACAGAAGAGAAAAATAGAGTAGATACCACCTTATCCAGGAAGACTGTAGGATGAACAAGGAAATGATGAGAGTTGAAGCTCACTGAAGAAGCTAATGCAAAGGTCTTGCATGTAATTAAAGAAAATAGAGAGGATACTTAAGTTTTCAGGCAGTTTTATGAGGAAAGAACAATGGGGAAACATGGCATATGAAGTTAACAGGGAAAAAAGTAACAGACATGAGCGTGGGTGGGAGTGAGCATTAAGGATGAAGCTGTGCAGATAATTTTCGATCAGCCAAGAGAAGAAGAAAGGAGCCATGTGCAAGACTGCTTTTAAAGCTCATACAGGGAATCCAGATTTAATCTTAAGGCAAGACAAAGCAGAGGTTTCAAAGTCAACAGAGCATGCATCAGATGAGACACATGATTTTCACAAGAGTGAAAGGGGTTATTGAGATATCAGGACCACAATAAAGAAGGTGGCAGTGGTGTTATAGGAGTACAACACTGTTATAAATATACCACATTTTCCATTTACAATATTGCACCACAGACAGTATTTACAGGACAACATCTTCTGAAGTGTTTCTGTTTAATGAATAGCTCCCTACCCTGGGATTACTAATAGACAGGAGAAACTCATCTCTTCTAGGCAGTGAGGGAAGATGAGGAGTCTTTCCATCATTTCTCTGAAAGTTAAAACAGCACAATATTAAAATTAAAATGAAACTTTAGTTAGATATTTCAACCTATTCTTTCCTGTTCCTTTTACACTTGATTTTCTGTGAATCCTGTCAATCTATAAGGAACAAAATGATACTGAGACTTGGAACTCATAACTTGTTGCTCTCTTGTCCCTTGATAAGAGTACCAAGAGAAATCAATGTAAGCTATTCATAAATCTTACTTATATACGCAGTGTGGTGATGTGTTAGCCTAGAATTATTCTGAAATCTCATGAGTGTGGCTCAGTAAGTTGGGGGAGGGAGGAAGCAGCTCCATGCATTATTTTCAGTAAAACTGCAAAGCTCATAGGACTTCCATACTGACATTTCCACCAAGACAAATCTAAATGCATTAGAGTCGCTATCTAGTCACTGGTAGTCATTGGAATCACTACCTAGAAAACCTGGAGAATGAACATTTGGTTCCTTTAAAAGGTATCCTTGTGCATAATAAATTTTCCCAAAAAAAACCACTGAAAAGACAAACATCAGGAGGCTTTTTCATCCTTGACTGAAAAAATCAGATGTTCACTCCCAAATTACTTCTCCCATTTTACTTGGATTAACATTTGTTTTAGAAACATTCAAATATGAATACACAATAAGGAGAAACATTTTTAGTTATTTGGTTCCCCGTTATGGTGCACACACATAAGAGGAGATTTTCTTTGTATATATGAAATACAAGAGGAGAGCTGAAAATTTTGGTCTGAGTCTGTAGCTATCCAGTCCCATCATTACTCCCTTTCTCATCAGAGGACCAGTGCATCCTAGGCTATAAGCTAAGCATAGCAAGACTTCCTTGAAAACTGAATATTTTGCAATTTTCTGGATACTGTTGTGTAAAATATATTTACTAACAAATCTCAACATCTTTCCAGAAAGATTTCCCTCCTTTCAAGTGAATACTTCTGCTCTTTGTAAAGAAACAAGTCTCTAATGTACAGCACTTACATGTTAATGTGAGAGAAGTCGGGTCAAGCTTTAACCTGTCACATTCAGATGTCCCAGGATTAAAAGTATCATCTTCATCATAAATATTTTGACGTAAAACGTTCCTTATAAAATCTGGGTTCATTGTGTTTTCCATAAACCCCTCTGTTGATGGTGGTACAGAAAACTCTAGCTGATAAAATACAGTGGAGTTTTCATTACTGAAAAACAAAGTCAAGTATTAATGCCTTCCAGTCCCCACTGGATCTTTTCTTTTTTTTTTTTTTTGAGAGGGCTGACTTTTCATATGAATGTTGGTGTGGATTTTTTTAAAATTTGTTCTAAAGAAAAGCATTACAAAAGAAAACTGCCAAAGATTCCAGTTTCCTCCTCCCGTCTCCCTCCTTAGAACAGCTCTTGATGTTAACAGAGGCTGGGCACATCCCTGGAGCCAACTTGAGACGTATTTTCAAATGCAGAAAGGGCAGATGGACCTGTGTCCTAACGGGATGAGGTTTTCAACACTTGTGCTTCGCAAGTGTGTAACGATAAGAGGTGCTGTGGTACCTCATGCATAGGTTAGCTGAGAACCTGCAGAAAGATTTGCTCTCCCGCTATCAGTACCTGGGGCCACCCAGCTGTGCTCCTAACTCAGCTGTGGAGTGGATTACGTAAACCACCAAGATGGAGTTATTCTCTGGAGATTTCAATGTTTGTGGTCTGCCAAATCCACTCACTACAATTCGGCAGTTACGTTTTGTACTGGCAGAATTTAAAACATTAAAAAAGGAGTTTGGTGGGGGAAAAGAAAAGGAGGCACAGAGAGACAAAGAGACAAAAGGGAGGGGGGCGGGGGGAGAGAGAGAGATCAGCTTGTCAATATGTAATATGTATGTAGAACTACAGCGTTGTACTTGATGGTCTGAAAGATAATTTTTACCCGTCGGGCTAAGGAGCTCTCGCTCACTCACTGAACACGGCCGCCCGCCCGAGGCTGGCAGTGCAGGGGAGCGCGTTCCCCGGCCTGCCCTCAGCACTGCCCCTTCCCTTGATTTTCTTTTGTCTTTCCAATCCTTTTTGTAACGGTGTTTTTTCAGAAGCCCTTAGGGAAGACCTCTGACCACCTTCCCTTGGCTCTCTGCTACCTCTCCATGGCAGTACCACGCTGCAGCTGAGCTTTCCAGCCCCACTTTTCCCTCTGCTGCTCAGCCCTCCTCCTGTTGTAAATCTGTGATATCTCCATAGGTAAAACCTTTACAGTCTCAGACACAGTAAACTCCTTAGCCTTCCTCCAGTGACTGTTTCTGCCCAGAGTAAGATCCTCCCCCTGTTCCAGCTTGAAGGGCTCTGTTGCCTCTGCAAGGCAGACCTGGGTGCTCTTCCCCTTCTTCCCACCACTGTTTCTCCTCTGGCTCCATCAGCATTCAGTGGCTGAGCTTCTCCTTTGTGTGTAAGCATCTCCCAGCCAGGCTAGCCTAAGCCTCTGCTCTGCTACCTGCTCTGCCACCTGCTCTGCCTCTCACTCCGGTTCCACTTGCCTCTCCAACATGCTGCTGCTTTGAGTTTTGCTCCTGTTGTCCCAAATAAAGAAAGGAGGAAAAGTGGTCCAAAAAAACCAGCAATGCAATATTCCTGTTTTGGCTCTCACGACTTGTATGTCCCCTGTTGCCTTTAGCTCTTTTGGGAACAAAACAGTTCTCCCCTCTCCATGAACCCTATTTTATTTATTTAAGGCTATTCAAGCCATGTCTGTCTCAAGTGGTTCCAGCAGCTCATTGTCCTTTTAGTAAATATCCTTGAATACATTCATTAAGGGCTGCACTTGGAACCAAAGACAACAGAGATGATACTTCACAGCAACAAAATATTACTGTCATTACATATTATTAGCAGCACTTGCCATTTGCACCAGAGGATCCTTTGACTGGTTTTCACTACCTAGATATGTAACTTTCCCCCAAACAACCTGTTTTCCCACAGATTTAAATGTTGTGCATATTTACATAGGCACATGTGTATCTCATCAAAAACCTGGAAATTTTGGCAACAAAAATTGCTTACCTGGAATAAAGCACCCGAGCTGATCTAAAGTAGCGTCCTAGAGCTGGAGATGAACTGTAGACATCTGTTAACTTGGAGAAAAAAAAGAAAAGAAAAAGAAAAAATATTTCTCTCTCTTCCCCATAAAAGAAAGTACAGTGAATCATTCTTACAGGTATTTTGAGGGGCATAAACACAGGTGCTGAAGGTCAAATATCAGCAGATATCTGCCCTGGAAAAGGTACACAATCCCTTTAAGCTTGACAGACAGGTTAATCTGTGTGTTTGAGTGATGACTATATTACCTTAACACAATGGAGGCATTCAGGGTGAACTAAAAGCACACGCTCATGTTGCCACGTGCAACTTACGTTGTTTGGCTTGGGTTTTTATTAGTACCAAAAAGCCCTGCTACTCTTATTTGGTAGAGGGAAGGGAGTCTCGGTAGAGAAACTTGGGCTTTCCCCAAGAAGCCCAAATCAGCGCTGCCGTGCCTGCTGGCCTTGTTTCAGCCGCAACTCAAGGCTGCGATGGCTCGATGGAAATGGCAGCTATAAACTCAGGCTGTCAGCATCTACTTACAGGAGAAGGCAATACACAGGATTTTTAGCCAGCATTGGGTTCAAATGACCTTCACAGATGCCTCCTAACCTAAATTATTCAATGATTCTATGGGAAAGGTGAAGGCTATGTCCCAAGCATTACTCAGGCACTTTTTTTTTTTTTCTTTGAATCAAAGTAAAGCAATTGCATGCCTGCAATTAAAAGTAGACAATTCTTGTTTCTAGACCAGGACTTGAAATTATACTGGAAAAAGTACAACTCAATTTTTTGTGGATTTGCAAATGACTGAGTTGCTACACAGAGAAATGGAAACTTCTTAAAAAGGAAAACAGTGAATTCTATGTTACAAGCAGAATCAGCTTTGCCAAGAACCGCATCAACACATACCCTTTTAGTAATGTTTTCTGAGAAAAGGTGTGGCAGACCACACATTAACTTCAACGTTCCTGAAAAATTGCGACAATTTCCACTGTTTAGTAGTGCATCAGGGTCCCAATAGTCATCTTCATCTATGTAAACATCTAATATTTAAAAGACGATAGAAAGGGGAGGAAAAAGTTCCAGTTAGCAGAAGCGGAAGCGTTAAAAAAAAAAACCAAACAAAAAACAAACCCTTTTGGCTTTCTCCAGGGTGGCTTTCTCACAAATTTCCTAGGTAATGACTAGGAGTGACAAAAAGAAAGTGTAAGTCTCCTGAAGATAAGTGACAGCACATCGAGGTCAATCACCCACCCCTGTTAGCAAAAGTCAGCCGCTTTGGGAGCCTGACAGGCACTGACAGCACATGAGGGGACCTAAGTAATCCACTGCGCTTGTTGTAGTGTTACAAGCATCATTTCCATCCTCATCCCCGATTCTATTCTCATAACATTTTCTCACTTAGGTACAAACTGGAATTGCCATCTGATCAGGAGACAAGTTGCTCGCTGCCTGCTAAAATGAGAGCATTCACATCCACTACTCAACACGCCGCCCTCTGCAGTCAGCGTCCCAGTCCCTTCCGCAGTTCACAGAAGGAGTTTAAAGGATGCTACTGTTCAATTTGTGTTATATTAGATTGTACATGTTGTACATTTATATTAGAAGATGAACCAAGAGTGAGATACTTACTAGAATAAAGAATTAGGCTGATGAGAATGACCAGGAAGAATACTAGAAAAATTGTAGCTATAACCATCCATAGTTCACACTTCCAAAAAACTACATTCCTGCATGATTTCCAGGGATCTCTCTCCTAGTTATAAAAGAAAAGGGCATATTGGTTAATGAAATAAGGCGGGGAAAAAACACTGAAGCATGTGTCTACTGTCACATTTAGAAACAAAACACCCCACATAGATGGGAGAGCCTCATTGGTAAGCAATGTCCCATCCCAGGGGTTCCCACCCTTAATTACTGCTGCAGGTGGGAACGTAGACCTGCAGAAGGTGAAGGACATTCACAGGCAAGCTATTACTTGAGAGGGAGATGAATCATTCCCCATTTGTGCAGGATTTCCAACTCCTGAATTGTCCATAAAGCTAAAGTGCTACAAATGGCTTTCAAATTTTGTTTAAAGTACATCAACTTGATTTGCGTGTTCCACAAGCTGTCCTTTTCATGTTTGCCATCTCTCCCAACCAAAAAGGTGTCTGTGGAGAAATTTCCAGAACGATTCACCTCTGCAACATTGATAATAACAATGTGCATAGCTCCTGGGTGCCAGCACCCAAAGCCAGTGAACTGCTACTCATTAGATACTATTGCATTAAAAACAGCCATAAAATAATAGAGACTTTTACAACTGACTCTCTTTTTCTCTAGAAGATTGGAAACTTGAAGGCTATTGCGTACGTTTAACAGAAAGTTTGTCACAAACCTCACCTGTTCTAGGCGATCACAAGGAAACTCTCTTCAAAGCAATTGTGCATGCATGTATGTTCATATAGGAAAGAAAAGACAATACTTGCTTTTAATTTATTTTTTAATAAGAATTAAGATCATGGCAGAAATTAGCCTTTTAATTAGTTATCCCAGCAGTACTAATATTAAAAAAAGAAAAGAAAAGAAAGAATCTTAGGTGACATAGCAAAACCAAAAACTCCAACTGTTTTGTTCCACAGCCAGAAGACTGAAGGAAGGGCATGAATTCATAAGCGGGCCATGCTGCCTCTTTAGTTCCTCCTCCTCCTCCTCCACCATAAACCCAGCAGCGAACTCAATGCCCTTTTTAACATCAGTACCAGGCGAGGAAAAGCACGTGCGGTCGGTTGTCTGGGCCACACACGTGCGGGAGCCAAGGCACTAACCTGAGTTACCTGCCTTTACTTATTGAACTTTTAAAGAATCCAGCAAAATAGAAAGCCTTTCACTGAATTTAGCTGACACCCACCAGCTAGCGTAAAGCTTCTTTGGAGGTGGCAGATGAACGGGGAAAGAAAACAGACACCCATGGAAAGATCTCACAGGAGTCATTTCTCCAGGAGCAGAGGCAGGGAAAGGGAAAGCACCCTTTGCAGATATCCCTGCACGCAGAACTGCTTTGGTGGAGAAAGAAGGGCGAAGGCTGAATATGGTTTAGCTTACAGCATGCTTCCAGGTGTGATGGTGTTTACATGTCTATTTTTAATTTGATTTTTGAAATGTATTAGGAGAATGAAGCTTCAATTTAATACTTGACACTAGCATATCATTTTGTATTTGAAAAAGAAACAAAGCCAGTAACTGCTGCCTAGAATACAACTCTGAAATCAGCCACAGTAATATCAGTTAAGACAGACAGCTCCCAAGCCCAAGTTTCGATCATCCCAAAAGCATAACTTTTAATTACACATAGTAAACTGGCTTGATCTCAAGCAAACATTCAGCTCCCCAACTATCCCGACTCCCTCTGAACATTGTCCATCTACATTGCAAGACTGCCGGGAGGGAGGAGCAGCCCCCCAAAACCTCTGCCCCGGCAGGCAGGGCAGCTCTGGTTAACCTGCTGCCTGAGCAGGGAGCACAGCACCATCATTTTCCAGCAGTCACCATAGGATAGGAAGCCAATTGCCAGAATCAGCAGAAACACAGCCCAAACAAAAACTCAGTTCTGGGAAGGGGAAAGCTAAACAGAAACTTAAGGGTAAGGTTTCTCAAGCTAGCCGAGCAGATCTATCTCACCCTTGTCTCTCCTTCACCTTCTCCTGTTCCTCTTTGCACCTCCCTAGAATTTCTCTGACCCTCCAGCAAGCTGATTCAGCTTACCAGAGCAAAGTAGTAACTGGTCCTCGATATAGTAGAATAAATGGGGTTTTTGCCTGGCCGGTGGAATGAATGAGCCCAGGGAGGTGATGAGAGGGGCTCCCCCAAGGAAGCCGTCAGTGTTGCTCTCCCTGCCCGGAGCAGGAAGGGAAGGCTGGCCTAAGGCGGACGAGCTCGCAGGAGGGCTCAGCCATCCCTACAAGAAAGTGGGATACTTCTTAGCTCTGCCACAGATATTCCCTCCACTCTTAAGTAATGAAAATCATTTTACAACAGTCAGCTGTGAGTATATATTACTCCTCTGCCAGCTTTAAGTCTGTTCCATAGCTTTAAGCTAAATGCTGGAAGCTATTTCCCTTAGGATTTGCATGCTGATCTTAACTGAGGCTTTGGGGCACTCCGTTCATACAAAATCATAATCGTTAGCAACTGCAAATTCCTCAATGATAAAAAGAGAGAGAATCCACCATGGTCTGTTGCAGAACATGCTATTCTTGTTTTGGCAGCGCTGTTTTCCTGATTAATTTGTTCTGAAAGAAAACCTGGTTTTAATAAGGCTTTCAACTTTTCTCCTTTCTGGTTTTGAGCCCAATCCCACTGACAGCACATGAAAAGAGAAAGCAAAACTCAGAGTACCAGTTACAGCTTCGTTTCCTAAGTTAAAGTTCACAAACGGCCAAGCACAAAAAATAAGAAAGCTTAAAATCCCCCTCCAATGATAGAATACTTCATTGAGAAGAAGAAAAGAAATACATTCATCAGGTTTTCAGCCTTTACCTTCAAGTGAATAACCTTTCCCTCTCCCTCAAACAACAAATTAAGCCACCCCACAAGATATTCCTGCCAAGTATCATTTCCCTTGCGGTGTGGCATTTTCCCCAACAGCAAGCATCAAATGAGCAAGCGAAATTCCTACCTGTCTTGTTTCAGCATTTAGAGGCTTGCGACGATCAGCCTCACTTTCCTCCACATTAGCTTCTTGTAATTCAATAATTTCATGCTCCTGACCAGGGCTTTGCGTTTTCATAGCTTCTGTCTCTGGCTGAGGACCTCTGTCTCTGAAGCAAGCACGGAGGCAACTCATTTCCTTCTGGTTTCAGCTGCAGTTATGATCAGTAACACTTCTGGTATGAGGCTGGAGATGGTAACAGGGAGAGTTGGGATAGTTTTCACAGGAGTGATGTCAAAACACTGATAAATAAGGGGAATTCCTTGGAAAGGGACGAATAACGTCATCTGCACTAGCTACAGAGAAACGGGAGGAGAAGGAGGAGGAAGTATCGATTCACCTAGCCGTCACAACTACAGCTCTCAGCTCTGCAGTACTAGGTTTTCCAGTTTGGCTACCTTACTTGTACCAGCCCTTGACAAGCAGGTGACTAAACCTTCAGCAATGTTGTCGTTTGCTGAGGCAATTTTGAAAGGAACCGGATTGCTGTCCCTGCTGCTGTCAGCCGAAACTGTGAAATACTATTGCTGTTATCTGAGTAGCTAAAGAAACAAATGTGGCTCTGAACGGCACAAACTAAGGAAAAGTTCACATAGCTTGTAGTTCGGTTAGGCAGTGAAGAGAACTTATAACACCCATCAAAACTTCTAATTTTAGTTTCCCTGTATATTCAGTATGTTCCTGTTCAACAAAGAAACGAACGCTACTGACCTTTGTGCTGTCAATTGTCCTCTCCCTAGCTGTCACACCGCCTAAAATCACATCTGGTGGTAAAGAACCATTTACATCTGTTCACATGCTACCCAACCTAAACCTGGGAAGCTGCTTCTGTGTAAAAAAACAAAAGGACAAATCTGAAAAGAAAAAGGTGGCCTTCAATTTCAGGCTGTGCTCTACAAGGCACGCTTTTATGAAGCAAATCATGGTGTGAGTTGAGGTCTGGTCTGCGCTAGCTTCCCATGTGAACCCTCCCCGTGCTACTTGGCATCACTCATAACAACTTACTGCAGCTGGGGACCCATTCCTCCCCCACCTCCCCGGTACCTTTCATCCTACCTCCTCTCATTTCTCCTGCTCTGACTCCATCTTCACGTTTCTCCTTCCTCCCCAGAGAGCCCCTCTCCCCCCTCTCGATCAAAAGGGTTGGGCAGGCAGCTGGTAACTGCACTGGTGCTGGCTCTCTTGTCCCAGGGCGGAGAGGATCACGCATTAAAGATGGAAACAAAGCCTCTCTCTCCAACTCCCTCCTTTCCTGGCTGAGTATCCACTCACAGCACTGCTCCTTCTTTTCCCTGCCAAATGCTGGGGATGTTTCCGCCCCCCGCAGATTTTCCCTTTGTGCAACTCAACTGGCTACTGATGTCTGGAGCATTCCCAGGCATTCAGATTCCTGATGTCATATCACAGCCATCCAGGCAAAGGCAATCCATGAAACTGAGCCCACAGCTTGATTTCATTCAGCAAATAAAAAGAAATACGAGCTGCATACCCCACCTTTTTGTTCTGGAGAATCCTTAAAACTCCAGAGGACTGAAGGTGAAGCTGAGCAGTCATCAAGATCAAAATGTGTGTCTGGATCCACCAGATTTTACCCGGGACACCTTTGCCAGAAAAGCCTTTACCTTGTGGTTCTCAGTACTGCTGCTGGAGATGAGCTTCATTTATTTCATTTCCACTGACAGTAAAAGACCTTACCTTCCTACTGACTTGTCTGAAACCAAAAGAGTTTTTCTAAGTCCATTGAGTTAATGATTATGGATCTCGCCCTGCAAAAGCCAAAGTCCTTTTATTTACATCTGTGGAGGAACTCCTTACAAGGTCTTGAGTTTCTTTAATCTGGGTGATCTGACTTCCATACTTGGTGACTTTCTTCATGTGAAGTCACTAACCCTTCTGACGCATGGAGCTGAGAAACTCAAAGAAAATGGGAAGTTGAGAACTTATCTGAACTTTCTGGCCTAGGCTTTTATCTAAAACAGAACAGCAGGAAAACAGTTTTCTTCTGTAGTGAAGACATCTCTGGTTTCGACATAAGGAAAAAACCCAAAACACTTGCCCCTTTAAAATATGCACTTTAGTAAAATGGGCAAGTTAGGCTCAGCTTTACAAAAAGAGGAAACTCCAAGTAACAAATGTAGTTCTGATTGCACCTGGGGATTAGAGTTTCAGAGGCACAATCAAAGGAATAAGGCACAGTCACTTGCATTTTTAGCATGTGTTTATTAAAAGGGAAGATGTAAATGACTGGCTAGCTGTTAAAGACACTAAACCCCCTAAAATATAGGCTTTGAGTATAGCATATGTAGGAAGTTTGACACAAGCATCCGGGGGGAGGTCCAACACTAGTGCAAGAAAGGAAGGAAAAGCGGTATCAGTGTTAGATCTGCGCACCGATTATACTGCTAGCTCATTCTAGTGTCTTCCCCCCATGCTGCCAAGGTGGCTCTAAACCTAAATAACAAACACATCTATGTACTGTAGAATAAAAAAGTGCTATGTGGACAGCAAGGACTGGTATTCAAATTGCCAGCTTCATTTTTTATTTTAATATACTAAGCACAATTTTAAGACCATCTAGACAGATCTTCTATTAAATTGAATACCAGCATTCTTAAGTCCCATGAACAGCTTTGGAAACTTTAAATCAGCTAGATTTGGGCTGATTGGCTCTATCAAAGCTAGATTTACTGCTAGGGTTAAAGGAATGTGGCTGTCTCTTTCTCTTCTAATTTCTTTGAGTCCAAGGATGCATTCAACCACATAAATCCTTTCCTTTTATGTCCCTTTCAATAAGTGTGGCCATGTGGGCACAGCCCAGGAAGAGATACAAAACAAAAATCCTGACCCTGAAACTCTGCTTGCTGCAGACGAAGGACATCAGGAAAATCAGCACAAACCCATCAGGAGTATGCTAAAAATTCACAAAGCCTGTTGGAGCCAGAGCTGGGAAAATATATTTGTAACACATCGCAAACATCAGACCCTACAGCCAGGTTCAAATTGTAAAGAGAACAGAAGAAAGCATTAAAGTTTCCTTTTGTTTAATTCATTAAAGATGAGTATTTTTTCCTCTTATTTAACCATCAACCCAAAGAACCTAAATAATGCTCTTCCAGTTCTTTAATGAAAATTTCTTGCATCCTAACATTTGTGAGCTATATATCTGCTGTTTTTAGGAAAACACAGGAGAAACCCCAAAAGTTACAGCCCAGAAGGCAACAGTCGTGCAGTGGCAGCATAGCTAGAGAATGAATTCATCTCAGCTTTGTACACTATACTGATTACAGTATTTGTATTTTCCAGAAACATGAAATAATTATTTATGTTTGGAATCCTGTAACATCACTAAAGTAATATATACCAGTTGAGTATATATGAGATGTGGCCACGAATATCCACATATATATATATGTGGGAACAGATACAGATATATAGATAGGAAGGGAGATGGAAGGAGGGGAGAAGATTTGCAAAAGATTTGGTTGGATTTTTGTTACAGGTTTTTTCTGTTTTTAAAGCAGAGCTGTTTCTGCTGCTGGGGATAAGGAAGATGAATCCATAAAGAATCTGAAGCTACTCTGAATCTGAACAGTTACTGCTAGGTAAACAACAAATGATTTCATAAAGAAAGTACATTCCTTCACAAAGAAACAGCCAACGGCATTTTCATGTTGTATCATCAGAGATGGACATGATAGACTACTGTAGGAAGCAGCTTTTGTAAGGGAGACGATCTGTGTTTTCTCCTTGGCACCTCAGTTTGTGTTCTGACGAATCCAGTCGTAAAGTGCCGTCACTTTAGTGTACACACCAGGACGATTGCGCCGAGCACATCCTTCACCCCAGCTCACAATGCCAGCGAGGTACCATCTATTTCCCTTTCCTGTGCAGGCCAAGGGACCTCCAGAATCTCCCTAAAATGAAGGGAATTCAGCCATTAGTGTATGTGCACGCACACACACTCACACAGAGCACTGTAACAAAGGTTATTTAAAGACAGTATTTCTCAAATTACAATTTAATATTAGAGTCTTATTTCTGGATAGAATGTACCCAGCTAGATGTCAAATTTATTCAATTTATTTTAACTTACAGATATAGCACACTAATCAGTATAAAATAATGGTAAGAATAACTTTAAAAAAATACTCACTGCTAATATCTCATTACAGGATTCGTAAAGCAACTGATCACAGGCTGAATGAGGAGAGACAATGACAGGGATGGAAAGTGGGAATTCTGCTACCATTTGACCATAAATTGTTCACAGATTGAAGGCAGAACTTTTATGCTGTGTATTAAATATGAACGGAAAGATACCACACACCTCCAACCAAAAAACCCAAACAAACCCAAATGACCCAAACCAAACACAAAACCAAAAAACAAACCAGACACAATTAAGTATTATCAGCAGTTTCATCACCAAGACTGTGTCTACATTCATAGAGGTAAAGGAAGGAGCAAAGACTAAGGAAGGTGCAAATAAGAGCTGGCTTCTCAAAGGGAACATACAGCTCCGTACAGCAATGTAGAAAAGTCAAAATCCCCATTTAGTTCAGGTCACAGGATCAAAATGCATCTGGACTCACAAATGCTTCATGCCCTTCACTGTTTTAACCTTGTATGCCTTCTGTGAACAGACCAGTTCGCAGAACTCGGAGCAGTTATGAACACAGCTCATCTCTGCGGCTGTTCCTTACGCATACAAGGCAATCAGCAGCCTCCAAGTTGACCCTGGGGTTTGTTGGCTGTCCCTGATTGGAGCTAAAATATGGAAGAGGTCAGAAGAAAGCCATGTACCGAGAAAAGAGTAACAATAGAAAGCCTTTGTTGCCCAACAAAACAAAACTATCTAGAGATAAGAAAAGCTGGAACAGTTCTTCCTCTCTCTCAGGCTGCTGTCATGCTGGTAATTTTGATAATCCAAGAGGTTGACCTCCAAGTGACTTGAGAAAGGAGGCTATGTAGTCCAGCCAATTACACAATCAGTTCTGAAAGACCAAAGGCATTGTACTCTGGTAGAGAGAGGAAGGGTTCTAAAAAGAGGAACTAAGGTCAAAGAACATCCTAGAGTGGTGAGAAAACAGAGTCTGAAAGAGTATATGTTTTATTTCTCTCTGTTAATTATCACA